GATTGCCATTTTAGATTTTTTCCTCTTGTTCCATCAAGAAAACAAAATTGCTGAAGGATCATGTAGTTGGTTAAGGAAGCAAAGTAACATTTTCCAAGTGAGCTATACTACTGTTGTTGAGGAAGAAGCTATGACTAATAAGGGAGCATTTTCCTAATCCTGCTTTTCAATTTTCATCATAGGAATTTGATGAAAAGTGTGTGCCAATAATAAAGATGGGGAAAATAATAAGGAAGTGTTTTCAGCCTTTCTGAAATTACTTTTCTGTACCTTTTCCTCTAACTTTAATTTTCTTTACACAGGCATTTTTGAATGCGTACAGTAACACGTTAGAGAATGGGTTTTTGCAATAGCTATTCTGATTTTTCAACTTTTATACTTCTTGGTGACTCATAAATGTTTAGGTACGAGACTGTCCACATTTGTTTTTTATAGATCTCCCGCTTCAAATTATTACATTCAGTAATGTCCTTTTGGGGTTTTTTTAGAACTATTCCAATTCATAATTTTATAACACCTGATGTTCTCCTACACTGTGCGAGCTAAAATTCGCCCCACCCCCTTTCCTCTTTGTGCTCGCTAGGTAATGAAGGACATTTGCCTTTGTGGTCTCTCTCGTATAAATATTCCAAAATGTTTATTTTCTTTCCTACCCAGGATTATTGCAGTAGTTCCGAGGAAGTTTACAAACCTGCCAGTTGCTCAAATGAGTCATGACACTGTAGTCCTGTTCCTCTGCATTCATTGAAGATGCCTGGCACGTTTGCCTAGTTCATGGCAGTTATAAATCTTGTTTCTTGCTGCATTCCAGTTTCTATAGTTCTCTTTCATCTTTCTAATAGTTCTTAGCAGTTTATTTAAACCTACACAATGTGACAAAGCTTTTCGCCCCTGAAGTGGCTGCACTGAAATGACAAGTTAATTGATTCATTTTTACATGACTAAGGTTTGCAAGAGGCTTTGAGCCTTTCTTGATGTGGGGTGCTGTACTTGGTGCGTGTAAGCTGTTTTACAGTGAGTACGTAACTTAAACAGCAGCGGTCAGTACTCAGACCAATACAAAGCTTCTCAGCTGTGTAGCACAGTTGAATTTTGCTGCCACAAGAGCGAAGATCCTGGGGCTTGCCAGTCCGTCTGTAGAAAAAGAAGAGAAAGAAGAAAAGGGTGAGCTGGAGCACAGATCCGGGCTTGCGAGTCCTGCCTTGAGAATGACAAGACAAGGATGGGCTACTGCATCCAGCAGTGACTGCCATGCGTGCAGCCTGGCTCTTCTGTCAGTGCCAAGCAAAACAGCAGATGTGGCTTTGCCTACATAGACATGGCAGGAAGGAAAGTCCTCTGTGGCCCCAGCAGCCCGCTGGCCTGCCCAAATGCCTGCTTTGTCTTCTTCCAGAGCTTATGCTCACTGCCATCTTTGCAAACAAGTTGGAAAGGGTCAAATTTTCAGACTTGCCCAGATTTTACTGTTTCAGTTTTTGGAAACTCTTATTGAGGAATGTTTCAAGTTGTCTGAAAGGTCTTAAAAATTCAGTGTTGGGAAATTCACCTCCTGGTGATGGAAGGGTTAGGTGCCCTAACATCTGAGAGCTTCAGTCGTGGTTTGTTACTCCCTGCCCACGCTGCAGGGGTACATCATGTTCTGAAGCTTTGCTTTGCAAGGAATAGTACTTCTGTAATCAGCACATGATGAAGAGATAATTAAGCCTTGAGAGGTTATAAGATTTATGTTGGAAATGGAGAAAAGATATTCTGAATATGAGTTTGTATTTGTAGACAGCAAGACTTTTTCAGGGCAGTCAACTTTTTGGTTTACAGTTGAGACATTGGGCAGCAACTGATAGCAGAACCTTTCAGCACTCAGCATCTGTCAAGAAAGTACCTCATGTTCTTAAATCGGTTTGCGTAATGAGATTTATTGTGACCTTATAGAAGTAGTATAGAGAAAACCCTCAAGTAAAGCCTTCTACGTCTTCAGAACCGGCTTTCCTTGTGTGTACCTACTGCAGCTGATGCCAGACTCTCTGGGAAGCTGGGCAGGTGGGTCCACAGCGAGTGAGTGAAACCGTGATTGTGCCTTGTCTTTCTGTCCCAAGGTTTTACTACACTGCTCAATAACTAAGGAGGCAAGCTGCATATGAAGAGTGTGATTTCTAAGGTAGCACAAGGCTTTTGCCCTGGAGTCTTTAGCAAAGATCTCTTTTTCCTCTGTATTTCTGACTGTTTTGACAGAAGAATAGCTGACTCTTTATATTTTCTCTGTGTTTACCAGCATGTGTTTTATATGCTTACATTGCAAAACTATAAATCCCAGAATAAACAGATGACAAATTCTAGAGTGTATTTTAACTTAGGTCAGCTGGTTGCAGCAGTGCCTGTACCCACAGAGAGGACCATTACCTTCCAATCCCTTGCCTGAGCCAAAGGCATGCACTGAGAGGGGAAGTATCCTTCCTTCCTCACAGATAACTGTGGAGGTCTAAAAGCATGAGATTAGATTGTATTGATTATGGTAATTGTCTGCTGTAGATCAGAAATGTTGCAAGTATCTTGAGGGTACGGCAAGCGGTTTCCTTTTTTTCCCTTGTGCGCCTACCCAAAGGACGTGGATTTTTGTTCTTTCTCTCTACACAAACCAAAGATTGCCTCTGAAGTGCTGAATCAAAGCACGTCATTTAGAAAACTTTGGTCTTGTGTTGAAGACTGCAGGCTTGGGCAGTACCCCAACCCTCTTGGCTATTTCCAGTTTAGTTATCCTCAGTGCTAGGTAGCCATCCATATCTTATTTCTGGATTGAATTTGTGACACATCACCTGCCAGATGTTTAGCAATTGTTTTCTTCATGTTAAATTACCCATTTAAAGGAAGGAGAGAGTCAGACTTTCAGCATTGATGGAGCTAAGCTGACTTTTAAGCTGAGGATTGCACAAAATGAGTTTTAGGGAAGAGTGGAAAAACAAAGGAAATGATGGCCCAGCTATTTCTTTTAATGGTTGCATGAGCCACCTGTACTTTCTCTAAATTAACTACTTCACTAAATTCCAATTTGATGACTTGAATGGTAACTGTTGGGGTAAGCATCCTTGAAGGGAAGCAATAAAGTACAGTAATTAGTGACAGGAACTTCACCCTTCACTTTTTCATGACAGCAGACAAAATCCAACAACCTCAGTCTCTCCTGGTATTTCTCTTGGTTTAATGTGAGATGGATAGGGGTGTTTTTTTAGAGCCACTTTTTTGCTATCTGATCTAGAGTTCTGCAAAAGTTAGGGTTCTGTATGAATCTGTTGATTGATCATTTGAGAACAAACATTGAATTATGTCATGCATTAAAGTATTTTTTTTTTCTGTCAGTAGCCAAAATCTGATATGCCTAGGTCTTGCTCTGTTCTGTGGGTATAAATGAAAAACTTTATCAACTTAAACTGCTTTAAGCTAGTGGCAAGTGTGATTCCAAAACTTCAACAGCAACAGAATTCGCAACTGATGCATACTGATATAATATAATTGAAGTTGATGCTTTTGTACCTGTTCGTGCCACAATTAATTTATTGTTATAATTCCCTTTCCATGAAGACAGGTCCCAACTGTTTGAGCAGTATTTTGCCAGCCTCTGTCATTTGCATCCCATCAGGAAATTTTAGCAGTGCTCCACAGTAATGCATTGTGGCTCTTCAAAGGCACAGCAGGCAGTGCCGGCAGTGCCTGGGAGCTGCAGTGCCAGCGAGGGTGGCAGGGTGAAGACTCCTTCTACATCAACCTGTGAAGCTGATTGTGTAGCTGTGTCCTCCTCATTCCTCTGAATGGGATGGGCAAAGATGTTGAAAAGGGAGAGTGTGTTACTGGGGGACATAACAACTTTGGTTTAGTGTATCATTTAGGTGGGGTTTGGCCTGAGATAATAGTTTTTTCCTATTGCCTCTGTATTCTGCTGATCTTGTGCAAGTGGTAGAAATCTTAAATTAAAGAGTTTGGCTGCAGATGAGGGCAGCAATACAAAATAAACTTAAGTTTTATTTTTTTCCTTTTACAGATTGCATATGAATTTCTGTAGGTATAAGTGTCTTCTTTGACTGAGGTCTACTGCTGGCAGGTGATTGTCCTTCCAAATGGCCTCCTCTTCTTGTATATGCACTGTTACTGGCTTCATTTGTGAAATATCCATGCACCTGTCTCTTCTAACTCTTGCTTTACAGTGCTTCTTAAAAATTATCCCTGAAGGACATGGCCTCTTTTCCTTTCCTTACTGATTTTGTTTTCCTCTATTTTATTGTGTTCCCTGTATATCTTAGAGAATGGGATTATCCCGTTCTTACATTTTTAGGTAGGTGGGCTGAAAGGCTTGAACTTTTCCACAACAAGTTCCTTTATACCTGCTGTGCTCCAGGTACACAAATAATATGTTTGGAACTGCGAATCATAAAGAAATATTTTCTATAATTTTTAAGCAGGATTTAGATAACTATATCAGATATGCTCCAATACCTTCCTCTGTCTTAGCAAGGACTTGACCTCCACCTGCGTTGTTTATTTTTGGAAAGAGACATAAAATAAGAGTGTATGTGGAAAACTGGTGCAGTCATGTTTTCAGTCTCATTCAGTATTTTAAATAAGCTTATTGGTTATTGTTGTTTCAATTCTAAATTCTCTATCGTCATTTGTGTTGTTTTTGGAGATCATTTTGCATCTCAAGATACTTATTATCCATTTTGAGAGCAAAGATACAAAGATAACAGGGCAAGACATTTTGTAGCTTGGTTTCTCCTGCTCAGTAGTTTTTAACAGCATCCCTTAAAATAGAAATGCAAAAGTATGTGTCCTACTTTCCCCTCACTAAAATAGATGCCTTTTGTTAATTTTAGATACAGCAGAGCAGGATATGTAATTAATGATATCAAAGAATCCATATGATATTCAACAGGGTCCTAGCATCAAGGACAAAAGAAGTCTGACAACAGCTGTCCCTAATTATTTGGTTTGTAAAATGTTTTCTTTTATTTCAGGAAGTTGGATGCTTTCATCTATGATGCAGCAGTGCTGAATTACAAGGCTGGAAGAGATGAAGGCTGCAAACTTGTCACAATAGGGAGTGGATACATCTTTGCCACTACGGGCTATGGAATAGCACTTCAGAAAGGATCACCTTGGAAGAGACAAATTGATCTAGCCCTCCTTCAGTTTGTTGGAGATGGTAGGGACCTTTCTTTTGTCCTTTCTTTTCTTTCTCTGTGTATGCACAGTTAATTCAGTTTTAGCAGCTCTGATCCTTTTACTACTGCTCTCTTACAATCTTTAAAAAACCCAAACAAATGCAAAACAAATGAGTAAAATTATTTCTCGATGCTGAAACAGGAATACTCTTCCACTCTGTTTTAACTCACCGCCAAGGACATTTGCATCTATTTTCAGAAAGTGTTTTCATATACATCACAAAGTACCGCTGGCCTCAATGTTAGAGAACGTTTCTAAATTTATTTATTTTCTTTTTTTAATTTTGCCTTTGAGCAATTCCTGAGGAGTTTTTACTTGGTAGATGAGTTACCTTTCAGTGTGACTGTTTTGCTATTTAAAAGTGTTTAGCTCAGTTCGGAACTGGTGTGAGCGATCCCTAATCTAGGATGGATTAATTTAAACTTCTAATAAAACAATGTTTATGGAATTGAAGTAGGGTGACTGGTTTTATTGGATTTCAAACAGCTATTTTTCATTCTAACACAAAAATAGAAGAATTATAGGTCCTCTTGGCACTTCTGCCCTGCAGAAGAAGACAACTTACTGCACATCTTTGATATATTTGTAGACAGTAATAATGATTCATTCTCCACATAGGGCTCGAACTACATTTTGATTGTAGAAATGTTTCTTCCCCACAGTGAAACTTCAAGCCTTTCACATGCAAATAAAAATACGGTGGTTAAAAAAATGTCTGTGTTATGGCTGACTAAAATCCTCCATCAGACTGGAATATGGTGTGTGTTACACAATCATTTTGATTTTTTTTTTTCCACATAGATAGATGTGTTAGCTTTTCATTTCTCTGTCAGTGAAAAAGAGGGCTTTACTGAAAAATAAATATGCACGTAAGGTCACCAATAGCATGCCATTGAGACTAAGAATGGTAAATTTCTGTATAATAGGACAGTTTAAATGGCAAAGTGCAGGACCTTAGCATAGTGGCCTCCTGTTCCATAAAAACCAAGATATTAATTTTCATATTGGAGACAGTGAGTGTGTTAGTCTTCCAGCGCATGGATTTTATTCCTGTTATAATACTAAACAACTGGAAGAGATGTAATCATCATGACTGATGCATTTTTTCTGGTGTACATGTAGAGATACCAGTGTCAGCATTATTGATCTGTTGGATTTAGAGAGGCTTATGGAAGAAACATTGCTTACTTCTGCTAAGGAATGAATGTATGACCCATAATAGCTAGTTTTCAAGCAACTATATATTCTTGTTTTAAAGAGTTGCAATTAATTGGACAAAATCTTTGCTTTATTTTTCTATTTGTGAATATTTTGTGAATAGAATATTTTTCTATTTGTGTAATATAGAAGCAATTAAGAAGTGTTAGGTGCTGTAATTCTGACCCATTTTTAAATGGGGAAGTTGAATCAGAGAAGTTGAATTATTTGTCCCATACTAAAGAAGAAAATGCTTCTGTAGCCTGAAGGAGGATCTGAGGTGTCTTTCTCAGTTCTGGGCTAACCCCTCTAGAAGTTGCCAGAGCATCGCTGAGGTTTTCATTCTTTTCACCCTGCATTTTCTTCATGCTTACTTTCATCATTTTTGATACTTCTCATCCCACAAAAATAAATGAAATCACGGGGAAAGAAAATAAATGAAATAGAAGGGAAAATATATGAAGCTATTAAAGAAAAAGCTTGTCAAAATACCAAAGGTACTGCATTTTTATGCATCACTTTTTTTCTCTGAATATCAGGGAGAAAACAAAATGGGTGGGAGGAAAGAGGGAAAAATCTTATCATGTATTTACACTTTGACCTGTGGATTTACAGATGAATGCTTATATCTTTAACCCATTTTTAGTAGCTGAAAATAATACAAATGAATTGTCTATGAAACTCAGTATTAAAACTTCTATATGAATAATTTATAGAATTGTAATAGATACAGGTGACACCCAGGTGAACGAAACCTTGTCATGAAATGCCTGTTCCCATGTTCATCTTGCTCAGATATTACTTCAGAAGATAAGCAAAAGTTTTGAATGCGCAAACCATGGGGATTGTGATTGTGTTTATGGCATTTTTTCAGTGGTATTTTTCAGTACCTTTAGGAGGTACTCTGAACAACCCATGAAAGCTAAAATGTTCATTTTCTCTTGTAAAGGATCCCTAAATTTATTCAGAAAATGGTGTGGGCGCTATTAAAGAGAATAGCAGTTGGACATTTTTGATGTGTAGGAACTATTGCAGGTGTGTTTCCTTTAGTCCCAGAAATGTTGCTACCTTGTCTCACTTCATTGTGTCACAGGTCTAGATGATAATTTTCAGAAAAAAAAACCCAAACAAACAAATGGGGGGAAAAAAAGAAAAAGAAAAAAAAAACCAACGAAAAAAACCCTGAGAATAATACTGAGGTTGAAATTTCTTCTACTGACTTATAAAGTACATTTCAGGTGAACTGGAACAAAACACCAAGAAATTAAATGTAAAGAGTGATTGCCTGGAACTAGCATGGCCTGATTTTGTAATCTACGTCTAACTTCAGTAGTCTGATGAGTAATCTTTTTAGCTGTGAACTTACATACTCTGTTTTGGCAAATTAGAAGGGATGAACCCAGAGTTCAGACCAACATCACTTTGCTGTATCACTAAAAATCTCTTTGAAGTTATCTAGACTAAAAGCAAGTATGGTTGGGGGGAAAGTTTTCATCTTAAGGTGATGCTCCTGGGAAAGCCTCAGTGGAGTCTGAACAAGGTTGTTTAAGTAAATAGGCAAACACAAAGGAAGGCAGAAATACTTCTTTCACATGTATAGCCTCTGCAGAATTTATTATTCTCTAAGACTAAGTCTATAAAACAGCAAAGCACCGAGTAGTATGGCATTATTATTCAGTATATGTAATAGAACATTCATCACAGTATGGAATGATTTCAATGAATGATTATAAATCTAATGAGTTTCATAACTGTAAGAAAAAAATCCTAATGAGTTGAACAAACACAATTTCTTGATATGAACGTTATGTTAATAAGAGGAGAGAACCTTTTGGATCATACTAGATATTTGGATAAGACTAAGTAATTTGTTTAAAAGTATATCTGATTGCACCTATGAAAAACCATGATCTCATCTCTCTTTTACATTTGCGCAGTACTGAGAGAGCCTTTTGAAACGTGTTTCAGAGCTTTCCATTTCCTCTGCGTGTGTCTTTCTCCTGTGATTTTTCTCATTTGATTTTTCCTTGCTTCTTCTATATCATTCTCCTATCCAAGCCAGTTCACTTACACATTGAAATGAAATTTTTGCACAGTGGATAGGAACCTTTTCCCTCTTCCTTTCTGATGTAAAACATCCAACTAAAGTATTAATGACTTGTTCATGCAGGAGCATCTTTTCATACTTTCCAAAGCACAATGCTTTTTCTGCATTAAAGTCAATGGCTTTGAAACCTCTTTTTTATCTTGTTGGCACTAGATAAAAATTAAGGTGAATACAGAGGGATGTAGGTTTCGTTTAGGGATAACTTTAAGCTTAGACTGGGTGGTTTATATGTATCTACATGAGTAGTGTTCTGATCCTGAGGATAGTTCTACTGGGTGGACAAATTATACTGACAATTAACAATTACACTGTGAAAGCGACTCTGAAGTCTCAGCGGAAGGAAGCAGGCTACAAGGTGCCAAATTTGTTACTCTAACAAAGAGCAGAAGAGGCAGAGGGAAGGAGGATGGGAAGGAGTTGCTGAGGAATTTAAACAATAGTCACTTAGTTGTCTCAAAAATAGAATTATCCCCAAAATGTTTCATCACTTGGTCTGTGCAGGTTCATATACATAGCCCAGTTCATAGGAAGTTGAGATGAATATGCATTTTCTAGTATAGGATTAATTGCTTTGGAACACTGCATCTTTTTAATATGAAGAGTTAGGAGTTGCTTTTTCTTGTATAAAGGATATGAGTGAAGTGTATTACTAGTGAGTTTCTGGCTTTGTACATCGTCTCATCTGCAAAAACTTGCAGTTGATGATTAGCATCTACAGTTTTGTTTAAAATAGTTGATCATCAGGGTAATTCTCTAAAGCACAGTGGTGGTTGTGCTTTTTTTTGGCTTGCTGTGGCCACAAGATGAAACTTTCATTGTTTTTTAACAGACAAATAAAAATATTTCTACTGAGACACAGAAGACTATTTCTCAATCTTCTGTTGAGAAATAGAAGCACCCAGGAGTTCAAAAGCAACTCAAATGATATGGCTGCTAAGAAGCAGCACCATCATTTTGTTTGGGTCTTCTGCCCACAGCCACGGGAATGTGTCAGAACAGAAAAGTTATGCACTGAAGAGTCGCATGATACCTGCTTTGATTTCTTTTATAAACCTCTGTAAGCAGCAGCTGGGCAGGCTGATGTACCCAGAATCCAGCATGTTACCCTAGCAGCTGTCAACTGCTTTTTTGTGCTAGCTTGCCAGTTGATAAGTGTAGTAAAGGCTCAGGCACACAGCCTGTGTAATTTAGCAAATCTATAACTGCTGGACTGAAACATTTCTGAAGGCACCCATGTTCCTCCAGCCTTCAGTAGTAGGAACTTTTGGCCAGCTGCCTGAAGGCCCAGGCATTGCTAATACTCCTCTGGCTTGGGCTGCATAGTGCCATTTAAAGCAGAGCGGTACTTTTCTCAAAATATCCTGCAAAGTAGTTTGAAAGACATTGCTCCTGAAACCTGTAGCATCGTGTCTTTGGGATTTGGAGCAGAATCACTGCTGCCTAGTAGGTGAGGAGAATGTCTCTCTCTCCTCTCTCTCTCTCTCTCTCTCTCTTTCTCTGTTTGTTTTTTTTCATTTGCGAGCAAATGAGATTATTGAACTGCAAATGACAAAGCCGCTTTGGGATTAAGAGAGTAAGAGGGCTTCAGACTGTGCATGGGATGGAGAGAAAGACAGCAAGGAGCCTTTAGCTATGGGGGATGCAGCAGCAATAGAGGGATAAAAGACACGTGACAG